CAGTAATCAATGATAAGGGAAATCTAAAATAATCATTGCATTAGCACTTTTCCATATAGGGTATCATCAAAATCTCACAAGAATTCTATTAGTTATTACTAAATGTATTATTACATCTCCTAGGTTGCAGATGAGAAAACTAATGCTCAGAAGAGTTAAGTGATATGCTTTGAGATTACAGTCAGAAAGGTGGTAAAACTGGGATGAGAAATCAGAACTATTTAATTGAAATCTTGCATTCTCTCCGTGAAGCATGCCCCATGTGGTGGTTAGCTTGTCCCTTAAATTCACTTTCAGAACTGGGTACCAGGGAACAAACCGGCAGATGCAAACCTTTCTGTAAAACTGACCTTGACCTCCATTCTTGAGGCATGTAATTGACAGTGGAGGAGAATATATGAGGCAGAGTTTATAAATTATTCTAATAAATGGAAAGTCATTAACTAGATTATTCATGCACATGCATGATCAATCTTGGATTTTAACAAGGGAAAGAAAACAAAACATCTTTCACCACTGAAAGGTAATTTGAAATTTGTAACACTTAAGATATTAAAAATCTAGGTCACCTTTACCTTTACATGCTTTGATTTTGAGAAGCTAGGATTCAGATAGAATTGAATGCTGTTATTTCCATACCTAATGAGGGAGAAAGAAAAATTTGAAGAGGATCTAAAGAAATTGTTCCATTTGTTCACATGAACAGGGTTCTTTGCTGTTGTTTTTGCCAAAAACAAATGTTTTGCCGTTTTGGTTGAAATGGTACTCCTGACAATAAAGAAGGAAATCTTATGAGAAAAAAGGAGTCACAGAAGAGAGGGAAACTCCGTGGAAAGTCATTCGACTCCAGGGACAGAGCAATCTCATTAGCTCCTCAGCAGCAAAAGCTCTTGAATTGCCCTCAGCGGTGCTGCCATTCCCAGGACCCCGCAGTCCTTCTGCGAGTCATCTTCCTTCTATTCACAATGTGACCGCATTTGATATGCATCCCCTGGTTGTCACGGAATAGGAGCATGAACCTGGACAGGGTCTCTGTCTTCTTGGCTGTGAGAATTCACTAAATCTCTGTCACATCCTAATCTCTCTCCTCCCCTGACTATCCCTTTCTTCTCTCCTCTTTGTCTTTCCCCTACGTGACACCTCTGCCTGCTAACACTTGTGGGTGGTCACTGCTTTGGTTCACTCACAACCCCTAGAGACCTCTATGTCTTAGGGCCTCTGTTCATAGGAGTTCTCCCCATGTGAGTTTTGCTGTTTGCCCCTCCCTCTGTGTTCCTCCATCTGTATTCCTCAGTACATATTCACAAGAGAAAATTTGATTGCTCTCATTCATACCACATTCCAGTTTTGGTACAGCTGTTTCCATGAGGCCACTTTGTGGACTGCTGGCATGGGCCACCTTGGTCCAGGCAATCACGACTCTCCTGGTAAGATGGAGCTGAGGGAGGTCACATGAAGAATCACTTGGCACCAACGTGAGACCAAGATCTGTGATCTGAGTACTTGGGTTCAAATCCTGGATCTGTCATTTACCACTGTGGGACTTTGGGAAGATTCCTTAATGTCTTCTATAAAAAAGGAGGGTAACTGTAATGCATATCTCACTGGGTTGTGAAGATTAAATGAAATAACACACAAAAAGAATTTAGGACTATATTTAGTACTATGAAGGACTCCATAAGAGTTAGCTATTATTATTATGCACATCCACGTAGCCGTGAGCATACTAATTGCCCTTGACTGGAAACTGAAGGCCCAGAGGAACCCATCAATAATTTGTTCAGTCACACGTGTAAATTTCATCAAATTCAGCTCTGTCTGTCAAAGCTCACTACCAAGGTCTTGGATTTTTGGATTTTTTTTCCTCTCTAAATTTTTTTTCACCTCATTAGTTTAAAACTGAAAAATTAATATACACAAGTGTGGGGAATTTCTGGAATAGGCTATCAAAAGTCCACTTCTTAGTTAGAGCAAATGAAATATTATAGTTGAGTTTAGACAGCTTTTTATGGTTGTTTAGGTGCAAACTTTCATGTTTGTTGTGTATGTATTTAAGAACTCCGCCATCACTGTGGGACCTGTTAAGATCTTATGGAGCTCTTATTAGTACTAAATACAGCCCTAAATTATTTTCTTGTGTTATTTCATTTCTTTTCTTGTGTTATTTCTGAGCCCAGCATATGCCAAGAAAAATTATCTGGTAGGCTGGAAAATTAACTTATTTAAACCTGATTTAATCAGGCCAAGTAGTCATAGAAGAAGAACTAACTAAATTTTTATATTTAAATCCCGAAGTTTAACTGTTATGAGACAATACAGAAACAGCTCTAGTCTAAGGCAGTGTAATCTCTGACCCCATCTGAACTGGTCTGGCTATGAAACTGCTGCTAGAGCCTAATCCTGAGATGACCTGAAGTCACCACAACCGCATTGTACAACACTGGGGAGCACCCCACTCACACCATATTCCAGAATACCACGAAGAAGCCTTATCTGAAGTCTAGGCCTTCCGGAAATTCTCACCAGGGAAGGATGAAGAAAAACTACAGAAGTCAAAAATTTTCCAAATTCGCAGACTGATATTTGTTCAGCAGTTGCAGCACCATTATCCGTCATTAACATAAAACTCAGAAAACCATTAAATGGACCTGATACCTCCCATTTTCAAACCCTCCAATAGCATAGAACAGGAGCACTTTAGTGTGAATGAGTGCTCCTGCCTCTCTCTGCAGCCTCACCTCATGACAGCTTCCTCAACCCTGCCCTGGTTCAAAATGCTTCAGCTCCTCTGCCTCCTTTCTGAGCCCAGAACATGCCAAGGTCTTTCCCAGCTTATGGGGCCCAGGCCCTCATGAGCCCTCTCTCTCATTACCTACCTGAGACTCTCCTGCAGCCCCAACCCAGCATTTCCAATCTCAGCACAGTATTTGTTTCCCATATAGCACTTACGACTTTTAATTATTCTGTTTAGAAGCTCACTTAAATTCTGAGATCTCTGCCCCTCAACTAAAGCTGCATGAAAGTGGGAACCATCTCTATTTTACTTACTATTAGGGCTCCAATCTTTAGTACAGTATCTGGCCCACAGGAGGTACTCAATAAATATTTTTTGAATGAATTAAGGAAAGGAGGGAAACCTAAGGGCAATTCACAAGCTGCAGGGGAAGAAATAGGTGTCTTGTCCCATAATGCAAGTAGATGGACAAAAGCTGAGAGAGAATACAGCAGACTGAAAATTCTGTCCACACAAAAACCTGCACACAAATGTTTACAGTAATAATGCAGGATTTGCTGCTCCTTAGTTCCGCTAAAATCAGGGTTCTTGTCACACAACCAGGAAAAATTAGGCACATGGACATATTGAAAGGTGAGGAGAGTGGAATTTATTAAAAGAAAACTCTCAGCAAAACAAAGGCAACCTGTCAACAGGCTCCCAGCCCACAGACTGAATACCAGGCAGAGCTGAAGAGCCCAGGCTTCTCCCTCTGCATAAGGTGTGAATTCCCAGTGGCTCTGTCCCACTCTCCCAGTGCACAGGCCGGCCCTTAATCTGAGCCGCTCCACATTGATTTCCCTTACTGCACATGTGTTAAGGAAGCGATGGAATTTTTCACTGTGGGCATATCTAGGCAAGCCCTCTATGCACCATGACCTGGGTGGCATTTGGCTGTCTCCTGTCTCTATCAATAACAATATTCATAATTGTCAAAAACTGGAAACAACCAATAAATCCTTCAATAGGTGAATGAATAAACAAACTATGCTACATCTGTACAATGAAATACCATTCAGCCATTAAAAGAAATAAGCTATCAAGACACAAAAATAAATGGAGGAACTCTGAATATATATTCCAAGTGAAAGACCCATCTGAAAATGCTACATAATGTTTGATTCCAATGTATTCGTTTCTGAGGGCTGCCTCAACAAATTACCACAAACCAAGTGGCTTACAGCGATAGAAATGTATCCTCTAGCAGCTCCGGAGGCTGAAAGTCCAAAAATAAAGATGTCGGTCAGATTCTGCTCTCTTGAAGCCTCGGGGAGAACCTGCTCCATGCCTTTCTCTTAGTACCTGGAGTTGCCAGCCATCCTTAGCATTCCTTGGCTTGAAGCTATATAACTCCAATCTCTCCCTCCATTATTACACAGTGTTCTTCCTGTGTCTACATCTGTGTCCAAACTTTTCTCTTCTTATAAGAAAACCATTCATATTGGATTAAGGGCCTACTCTACTTCAGTATGACCTCATCTTCAATAATTGCATTTGCAATTCCCCAGTAGAATCTTGTTTCAGGGTACTAAAGGCTAGAATTTCAATGTATCTTTTTGGGGGTGTTCACAATTCAACTCATAACATCCAACTAGATGCCATTTTGGAAAATGCAAAACTATGGAGAGAGCAAAAAAGATTTGCAGTTGCCAGGAGTTTAGAGGATGAAGAAGAGAGGGCGAATAGGTAGAGCACAGAGGATTTTTAGGGCATCATACATGCTGTTCTGTATGATGCTGCAATGGTGCCTACATGGCAGTCTGCATTTTTTCCAAACCCTTAGAACTCTGCAACATGAGTCAATCCTAATATAAACTTTAGTTAATAATAACGGATCAGTACTGGTTTATCATTTATAACAAATGTACCACACTACTGCAAGATGTTAATAATAGGGAAAACTGGGATGGGAAAGTAATATGAGAACTCTTTCTTTCTGTTCTGTTTTTTGTAAACCTAAAACAATTCTTGGCCAGGTGCAGTGACTCACACCTGTAATCCCAGTACTTTGGGAGGCTGAGATGGGCAGATCACGAGGTCAGGAGATCGAGACCATCCTGGCCAATGGGGTGAAACCCCGTCTCTACTAAAAATACAAAAATTAGTCAGGCATGGTGGTGGGAGCCTGTAATCCCAGCTAGTTGGAAGACTGAGGCAGGAGAATCGTTTGAACCTGGGAGGCGGAGGTTGCAGTTAGCTGAGATCACATCACTGTACTCATCCTGGCGACAGAGCAAGACTCCAAATTTGAAAAAAAAAAAAAACCTTAAAAAATGAAGTCTATTAATAAAAAAAATAGGCCACAGTTCAGATTTGGTTTCTTCTAAAAGTAGATGGTACAGCAGTCCCCCTTTATAGTTTTGAGATTTATAATTTCAGTTACTCTTGGTCACTGCAGTTCGAGGGAAATTCCAGAAATAAACAATTTATAAATTTTAGATGCTGTGTAGCAATGCCTACATCATTCATCTCACCTCTCATCACATAGGTATCTCTTCATCTCACATCATTAAAGATGGGTAACTAAAGTACAGTAAAATATTTTAAGAGATCACATTCACATAACTTTTATTATAATATATTGTTATCATTGTTCTATTTTGTTATTAGTTATTGCTGTTAATCTCTTACTGTGCCTGTTTTATAAATTAAACTTTACCATAAGTATGTACATATATTTAGGGAAAAATATAGTGTAAATAGAGTTCAAGACTATCCATGATTTCAGGCATTCACTGGGGGTTTTGAAAGATATTCCTCACGAATAAGGAGGGACTGCAGAAAATATTCTTGTCTTTCTATATTTCATTAGAGGTTTCTAGAAATGATCAGCCTAAAACAAACTGGCTGTAGACGCCTGCAGTTTTTGCTTTGTTTTCGGTGTTGGTTTTGCGTTTTGTTTTGCTTTGGTTTGGTTTTGGTTTTTTTTTTTGTTTGTTTGTTTCTTTTTTTGAGACAGAGTCTCACTCTGTCACCAGGCTGGAGTACAGTGGCACAGTCTTGGCTCACTACAACCTCTGCCTCCTGGGTTCAAGTGATCCTCCTGCCATTGGCTCCCAAGAAGCTGGAACTACAAGCACATGCCACCATGCCTGGCTAATTTTTGTATTTTTAGTAGAGACAGGGTTTCACCATGTTGGCCAGGAGGGTCTCCATCTCTTGACCTCATGCTCCACCCACCTCGGCCTCCAAAAGTGCTGGGATTACAGGCATGAGCCACCATGCCCAGCCAGACCTCTGCAGTTTTAAGAAAGCCATTTATCCATGAAGTATTCTTTACTCTTTTTGTGTAGTTTTTTCTTTTTTTCATTTGCCAATTATCATGACTACAAACCTCGATGTTCCAATTACTCTGTGGGAAGCTGTTAGAGATCAAAAATTCTGTCCCAGAAACCAGTCTTGCATTTGAGTGCGCTTTCACCAAAGTTTAACATTCAAAGTTGCTGGTTCTCTTTGGTCTTGGCAAGTTGTGTGTCATGGTTTAAAAAAAAAAAAAAAAAAGCACAGGACAAAGAGGACAAAGACAGAGTCAGAAATAGTATGGAAATATAATCTACCATACATACCACAACATTTTGGATAGTAAAAAGGGAAAGGGGCAGCTATTAAGTGTAAAATAAACAGTCCCAGGAAGACTGAGCAATGAAATCACCCAAATCAAAGAGTCCATATTGAAGCTCCAGCCCTGCTATGTATCATTTGGCCGTATCATTCATTCAAGTTCCATTTATACAATGGAAGCCTGCAGGCAGAAATACTGTTCAGGGACACCAGACACTGATCTGTTTCTCTTTCTCTTCCCTGCTACAGATAAAGATAAGGCCTTGTTAGTTTCAAGGACAAAGATCCAGATGTTTGTAACAGTCCTTCACATAGATAATATAAAGAATCTTCCAGAAAAGAGATGTAAGCCCTACATTTAAAGAGTGATGCTACTGTAAGAATTGACCTTTCCAGTTCTGGCAAGACTGTACTTGACACAGTAAGGTGCCTGCTAGGGAGATGAGAAGGAGGCAACAAATCTTTTGCTGAGATGTGAGTATTTGCTCTTATTTTTGGTCCCCATTCCATTTCATATTCTTAATGCACTGGATTGAATAGTGTCTCCCAAAAATCCATGCTCACCCAGAACCTCAGAATGTGACCTTACTTAGAAATAGGGTATTTGTAGATGTACTCAAATTAAGATGACACCATATTGGAAGTAGGGTGGGTCCTAATTCCAATATCAATGGCATTCTTAATAAGAAAAGAAGAGCCACAGACACACAGGGGACAAAGCTCCATAAAGACAGAGGCAGAGATTGCAGTGAGGTATCTACCAGCTAAGGAACCCAAGGATTGCTGGCAACTACCAGGGGCTGGGAGAGAGGAATGAAACAGATTTGTCTCAGAAGGAACTGACCCTGCCAACCCCTAGATTTCAGATTTTTGATTTCCAGAACCGTGAAGGAATAAGTTCCTGCTGTTTTAAGCCATCCAGTCTGTGCTAAATTGTTAAGGCGTCTCTAGGAAACTAATATACTCATCTAAATCAACATGGAATTAATATAATCTTAGAGTGGTTTTTGTGTTTGTTCTTACCCTGTCATTTTATAACCTACCTGAAATGCTACATTCCTTCACCGCGTACCCCAACTCTAGTCAACTACCAAGTTCTTTAGCTTTCTCCATCTTTTCTCTTGTAGATCCCATCCTTGTTACATCTTTCTTGGACTACGGTAACATTCTAAGTTCTCCCTTTACCTCGTACTTTAACATACTCTTATCTCTCCTCAAGCAAAGCAGTCTTCTTAAAAATGAAACTTGGCTTTTTCTGTTACAGTGGCTCATGCCTGTAATCCCAGCACTTTGGAAGGCTGAAGCAGGCATATTGCCCAGGAGTTTGAGACCAGTCTGGGCAACATGGTGATACCCTGTCTCTGCAAAAATATACAAAATATTAGCTGAGCATGATGGTGTGAGGCTGAGTGGGAGAATCACCTGAGCCTGGGAAGTTGAGGCTGCGGTGAGTTGTGATCATGGCACTGCACTCCAGCCTGGGTGACAGGGTGAGACCTGGTCTCAAAAAAGGAAAAAAGAATAACTAAATTTAATGAAATCTCTTCTTGCTTAAACCTTCTTAATGGCTCTCATTGCCTACAGAAAAAAAAAAAAAGAAAAAACACCTCAGTTGTTTTGCATGATGTCCTAGTTAGCTCTGGTTGCTCTAACGAGATAGAGATTGGATGTAGGCATATAGATTGCATAGCTTAAACAACGAAAAATATTTTTCACAACACTGGAGTCTGTAAGTCTGAGATCCAGGAGCCAGTAGATCTGTATCTGTGAAGGATCTCTCCCTGGTTTGCAGATGGCTGTCTTCTTGTTATATTCTCATATGATGGAAATCAGAAAAAGAAGCAAGCTTTCAAGTGTTTCTTCTTTTAAGGACACTAATCCCAATCATAAAGGCTCTGCTGTCATGACCCAATTACTTCCCAAAGGCCCTACTTCCTAATACCATTACATCGAGGGTTAGGATTTTAACATACAAATTTGGGAGAACACACTCAGTCCATAACACATGACATACAGGACGTTTATAATATGACCCCCAACCCAACTTACGTTTCAACTATTTTATCTCTTGTGTAATACTGCTGAAGTTTTAGGGAATTAGTAATAGTTATTTAAAAAACTAAGCAAGTACACAACAAAAATAACCTAAACAGAGCAATTATTAACTGTAAGGGAAACAAAAAGTCACACAAGAAAGGAGATGTAATCATATTACTTGGATGTAATCAGGTTGCTTGACACAGGTATGAACAATCTTTATAAAAACCATTGTGCAGAAAAAAAATCTGCATAACAAGCCTGACTGCTATGCTTTAAAAGCTTTGCTTACAAGGTTGACTCTTCTGCCCTTGGCTGGCATCATTTCAGGATAAGTGATTTACTGTACTTAAACTGTCTGTGCAAACAATATGCTTGTGCTGAGCACCTGTTTTTCTTTTAGCAGTCTAGAATTTTGTATACACCAAACAGAGAATGCCTAGGTAACAAGCCATCAATTAAAAAATAAATTAAAATTATGGGCACTGATTCTCTGCTGAGCTTCTCTGTGTGACAATATATGTCACTTTTTGTCACAACTTGCTGGAGAAATTACATGCGTACTGTATGACTCCACTAGGAGAAGACTCTGGGAGCTTGCTCCTATCTCCTGTGGACTTTACCCACATGCCTTTTACTGCTGTTGATCTTACTCTGTATCCTTTTGCTGTTAAAAAAAATTAATAATAATCTTAGCCATGATGATACCATTTCAATGTGTCCCCCAGGGTTCAAGTGTTAGAAACTTAATTCCTAGTGTTACAGTGTTTCGAGGTGAGGCCTTGAAGAGGTGATTAGATCATGAAGACTCTGCCCTGATAAATGTATTAATACCATTATCCAAAGAGTCACTTTATCTTAGGAGTAGGCTTTTTTTTTTTTAAATGAAGTATGAGTTCAGCCCCCTCTTATGAGTGCATTCTCTCTCACTCTCTTGCTCTCTCTTGCCCTTCCACCTTCTGCCATGGGATGAAACAGCATGAAGGCCTTCAGAAGATGCCAGCCCTTTGAACTTGGATTTTCCAATCTCCAGAATCATAATACAATTAATTTCTGTTCATTACTAATTACCTAGTCTCCTATATTTTGTTATAGGAACAAAAAACAGACTAAGATACGTAAGTACAACTATATACTGAGTCCTGTGAATTCTAATGAATCATCAAACCTAAACGTGATGTTGGGGACCCTTAGCACAATAATACAGTAAACACTGATTACTAATTTAACAAAATATTTATCTAACCTTGATAAATGAAGAAATTTAAGCATATTGCCTGCAAATAAAAAGGTAAATCACAGAAAAAACAACTAGAAGTAGAAAGGAGTTTCCTCTGAGCAGTGAATTTGGGATAGGAAATGGCAGATCCAGAGATGGCTATTTTTTTGTAGGTTTGTAGTCATTTAAAAACTATGTGTGTGTGCACACACACACATATATATATATATATACACACACATACACATATATAAACTAATTATATATTTGCACTTATTATATATATTACTTTTTATAGAAATTGAAATAAGTATAGAATTTTTTGCTAGAAAAATCACATTAGATTTGTATTTCTATTATTACTAACTCTATGTGCCAGATACTTGGCTTTTTCTGTTACATAGTTAACCATATTCAATTTT